ATACCACTTGGTGCTGGACCACCTGCACCCAGACTACCACCTGCTCCTAGACCAGAAGCACGGGCCCGGAGTGCTCTGAAAGCTGGATTTGCTTGCGTGGCCACAAAAATGGCGCAAAGTACAACAAGAACCTGAAAAAAAAATAAGCTGGCGTAACTATAGGGAATCAAGCGATGATTGCGTTTAATACACATTTTTTTGAATCCTAGTAAAATATGAAGGGGGGAAATTGAAAATTAATATTTAAGGGGACACGAGGCCCCTGAAATTAAAATTGTTTTGTAAAATATTTGTCTAATCTGTTGTGAATTTTCTTAAAAAATTTCCTAAATTGTTTGGTTGGTAGGTAGTTATTTAATTTACATAGCACTAGAGCTACACAATGGGCTATTTAATTTTATATTTTAAAACCGTCATTGTGTGTGTGAAATGTCGACCCAATTTTTTGGGATTACGACTACTAATGTTTAATTCCATAAACTTGTAATTTTGAACCCAGTCCAGAAGGAAACTCCTGGATTAAGTATTGGAAGAAGATTTGCCTTCGTGGAAGACTTTTTCTGGTAGAACTAACCCGACTTTGCGTTACATGGAGAGGATGACTACGAGAACCTTACACGTATAGACTGACGGCAAAGTGGACTCTAATCCATGATCCGTCTACCACTGGTACTATATTTTAACGACAGCATTGTGGTCGGTGCAAGCCGGATGCGAAATTCGTATCGATCACCCATCGCTGTGATTCGAACCCAGTTCACCACATTGGAAGGCGAAACTCTATCCCTTGAGTCACGGCTCACAATGGGCTATTGGCGACGGTCTGGGAAACATCCCCGAGGATAATCCGAAGCCATGCCATCACAGTTTTGATCTTCTGCAGATGGGATCTCTTCTCTGCTTTGGTAGCCCGAAGACCTGCTAGCGAAGTCGAGCACTTTACGGAAAAACAGTTTTACGAGGACCGATACCGTGCATCCTCGGTCCTTACGTGCTAATCAAGAAAGGCTAATCAAAAAAGTCACCCACCCGCTTACTGACAGCAGCACCTAGACAATCCAGACCGCTTTACGATCAGTTCACTGTAATTGTGATGGCATGTCTTCGGATCATCCTCAGGGATGTTTCCCAGACCGTCGCCAATAGCCCATTATACAGCTCTAGTGCGACTTAAATGAACTACAGAAAAGATCAGTCGACTGCCGGGGTCATAAATTGTTTAGCTAAATTTTTAAATCTTTGCTAATTTTAAGAATTTTTTTTTAAACTTACAATATTGTTTACTAATATGTAATAATGATGAAATACGAAAATCATCGACAATGTCTCTGTTAACAGAAAATCTCTGAATTTTATCTACAGAAGCGTAATCAGAATATAAACTGATTAGGTTTTGTTTAACTTTGCAGTGGATGAGGGGGGGGGGAATTTTCATGCCTATTTTTGTAAAATTATACGTTTCGATTCCTTCATAACACAATAAAAAATTTTGAAATATTTATTACAAAAAATTTATTCCTAGGGAAAACTAATTTTTTTGAAAAAAAGGAAAAAAGGCTTATCATAGTATAAAAAATCTAGCTTCTGCACTAGAAATTTCATTATAGCTGTTATAATATCTTTAAAAACCATTTTATTGATAAAAAACGTCAATACTAAATAACAAATATAATTATTCTTTACGTTCCAGACTGAAATTGTTTTTCGAAATCTTTATGATTCCTTAGCTCTTCTTTAGCAAAGAAAAGACAAATTCTTGAGCAAGGAAAAAACATCTGAAAACTCTGAACAATCACTATTCGGAAGAGCAAAGAAGGTATTAAAATCATCAAACAATAGTATGTTTGGAGGGAAAAAATACGTCACAAATGTGTCGCATTCGTTTAAAAAATTATCTGCTTTACTAATTTTTTCCTTCAAATGATCTGAATATAACGTAGGATATTAATAATTATCCTACAATAATAACTACATTTGATTAAGTATGCTGATAATAATTAAATTATTTTGAAAAAAATTACATTTGAGCATCTCAAATTTGTTGTTGCGGTTAACACTGTTATTTTGATATAAATGGCAGCTATAGAAAGACCATGATATTTATCATTTCAATAATATCGTTGTGATATTTCTATAATATCAATGCGATTTCTATAGTTTCGATAATATAATTTCGATATTTAACGTTTCGATAATACCGTTGCAATACCGTTTGACAAATCGGGCGACGCTGAATATTATTAACAACAAGAATTATCGAATACGATTATATCACGATCAATATCCATAAGTGAGATAGTATCTTGAATAATATCGAATACGATATTGCCGTAAGTGTTGATAAATTTAATTATTTAAACATATCGTAATATTGGGTTACTTTGTCCAGGTGAGGTAACTTTCAGACATTAGCGTTTTCCATGGCGTTTTCATACACTAGCGTTATTATAGATAAGCTAAATTAACTTTCAGATTCCTAACGCCATTTTATACGTTATTAGAAACCTTTATGTCTTTCAGTTTATTTTATACGTTATCATAATCAACAATATTTACATAATACTGCTGTTTAGATTGTACTATACAGTATACTCTCGATAGTTGAAGGAACGCTGAAAAAGCGAGTTTATGAGATAACAAGTTCAGAACTAAATATGTTCCAAAAAGTAAAAAAATATATTCTAAAATATTAATCTGAAAAAAAATAAAGTCACGAAACATAAGAATAACCACTATTAAATATGTATGTAATGATAGTTGACTGTAAGTCTAAGTTGACTAAATACAAGAATGATAATTTTATTACTAAAAGTAACACAAGAACTAATTATGCATTAAATAGAAAAGAATTGGTTTACAATGAACTTGCATTGTGATTTTTCCGAAAAAATTCATTTTCTATTTCGAAAAAAAATTCGACGTAGCGCAGAATTCCACGGTTTGCGAAGAAACCCTTCGACATAGGAATTCAAATTAACATTAGGGGTATATATATTGCCATGGGGGAAAATAACCTTCTGACATAACAAGGCGTTCGAGAAATTGAAGATCGAGATATTGAGAGTATACTGTATATAATATTGCTAATATATAATAAGCAATACTGCATATAATATTGCTAATTTTTGATTATGTATTGCTGAATAATGAGAACAGTAATTATTCCTCTGAAAATAAACTGATGTGAATAATATTTATTTTGACGTCACTATAACAGTGACGTGGCAGTGCCGGCGGCAGAAGTTTTCACGCCCCGGGCGATATTAAAAACGGCTCCCTTATCTCAATTTTGGAAAAAGAATCTGAATTTCTTAATAATAACTTATTTTTTCCTTTGAATTACCTCGATTGTGTAGTCATATCCTTGAATAATTATTTCGTAATTGTATCGCTGTATATTTATATTTTAAATTACAATATAACCTGAAAATTATAAAATCTACATCAACCTTAATTGTTGATTTAAAAATTATACGAGTAACATAAATAACAATCAACAACTTCAAGGTTAAAAAAGAAGGTCGTTAGTTTAATGAATGAGAATATCACCTCAAGTTTTTTTGAATAAACAATATAGTAATACTTTTTTAATGAGCGTAATCTTTTATAACATGAAAATATATAAGCATAAATATTAAATCTACAAAATCAATTGTTTTTGTGGAAACATTTTCTTTAGAAATTATGGAATTAGAATTTAATCCCTTTTGTGTGCCATTGTAGACCCTCAGATTTCTGTAACTTTCAGTCTGCTGAATAAAGTTCACCACTTGCTACAGATGGTGGGATGGTTAACAAAATTCTTAAATTAAACAGCAAGTTTGTAAAAATATCTTTAACTAACTATAAACTAACTTATATTAATATGAAAGTAAAATAAGTCTGCTAAACTTGTCAAGTCAACATTTTAGCTACCACTTTTTATTCTCCTCGATCCTGATTCTACTTTTGTACGAATACTCTTATGAATCTCATCCAGTGCTAACGTAAAATATCCTCAGCGTAGACGGATCCTACGTTAGAGTACCCTTGCTGTGAGGTTAACCGTGGGAAGTTTTCCTCTTCATGCAGCTCAAATGCAGGTTAGTCCCTTCAAAAAGTGCTCCATAAAGGCAAATTTCTCCCTGTACTTGATCCAGGAGTTCCCTTGTCTTCTGGATCGGGTTCAAAATTACAAGACTACGGAGTTGAATATTTGTAGTCATAAGCCCAAACAATTGGGTCGGCTGTTTATCGTCAGTCATAAAATAAAATAATTTGGTTGACGCTGATTTTAAAGTTTAAATTTAATTATCAATATAAATCAAATATATTATATTATCAATTTAAAGTTAAAATTAATTGTCAATATAATAAATATATAAGAACGCATAATTCTAAAAGAATTTATTATAATAATAAATTTTATAATAATAGAATTATTCTTCACTATAAAAATGTATATTTTCGTTTCGAATATTTTCCTTTTCTTCCCAAAGTATTACGCATTGAAAATGTTTAGAAATATTTTAAAAATTTCGTGTGTTTATTCGAGATTAAAAATGTTTGTGTCAGGTCAATAGAAAAACGATAAATTAGGTACTTCAAAATTGATGAAAAGAATTTCTTTACAAAAAATTTTCTTACTATTTAGAATAAAGTTTTAAGTAAAACATAAAAAAAAAGAGTTATCCAAATCAATATTGTAATATATTCAGAGAACTGCATGGCGAAGATTCCAATAAATAAATAAATAAAATGTGTTTTAAAGTTACTCCCTTTTACTGTAGGTAATTAACAACCGGAAAGTCGAAATGAATTCTAAAAAACTAGTTTTTAAATTTTTTATAAACTCTTTTGTTGCTCTTGGAATTAAACAGCAAGTAATGAACTATCAAAAAGACATTGATGGACGCATAATTTCTAAATGTTTGTGGCATGTAAGCATAGAATATGCAGATATTTCTATATCTGTATCAATTAATTAGTAAATCAGAGCTGTTGTTAATAGAACTAAGTTGCATGTATTGAGCAACCAGAAAGACATTGTAAATCCCCTATTCTTCTTTTGATTAGCATACAAAGGCTTCTAAATTCTTTACAAACAAATAGATATCCCGTTAGAGCTTTTCTTAATAGAATCAAAGTGCATTAAAAAAAACAATCAGAAAGAGCCTCTAAATAAGAAAATTTAAATATTTCTAAACTTCTAGTAAACAATTTAATTTAGATTTTGAAGGAGAAAAAGAGCAGTAAGTTTTTGTAATGTGACAAAATCAAACGTTATACTCAATGCAAGAATATTAAATATTATTCTAAACTAATTCAAACACAAAAAAAGTATTTTAATAAGGAATAAAAAAAGTGCAAAAAAAGTATTTGCAAATTAAACTGAATCAAGAGAAAAAACTGAATTCATATTTAAATCCATTTTTAACGAAAGAAAATAGTTTGGAATATATTTCAGATAAGAATCAGATGCTAATCTGATGGATTTTAAGATATTATGGGAGATAAACTAACCATAACTAGAAGAATTTTACTGTTTGTTTATCGATATGCTTTATCACTGTTTAACAATTTGTTCTGTAAGGGATCTGATGCCATCTTGCATTTCTATGTTTTAAAGTGCTAAATTATACAATTATTACTTTTGTGACAGGTCGTATTATTAATGTACATTATTTTTCAGTAAAAACTATTAATCATTTGTTATTTTACTAGGGGGCTAAACCCCCTAATCGCTGACGCTCACTAACCCCGATGATTGCTTCGCAATAATTGCTGTTTCTTTGCATAGAGCAGTTGAAATGAATCAATTAAAAATATGTGTACTAAAAAAAACACTTAGGCCTCAACTTCACACGTCCAAATATTTCCTTTCTGATACTATTAAGACCTATAATTGGGTATACTATAGCCTACGTCACAGATCGTGTTATTCCTACTAAATTTAACTAGTGAACAGCATTTTCTGCGAACCTGATTTCTAGCAACAAGTAAGAGCATCAAACGAAGTGTCTTGTTATAAGTCGCTACTCGCCAAGTTGGAATTGTATTAGTCTAGTTCCTTTGGAAATAATTTATATTGTTGTTTTACCGAAGTTTATGAATTTAGTAAGCATATTTAAAACTCAGTTTATTAATTAAACTAAAAGGTAAATGTTATTCCTAGTAAGTGGAAGTAGTTGTGCTTTTTTCATATTATACCCAATTGAATATAAATAATTTTTCTAAGTAATAATTTTTTATTGTTATAACAAATTTGGTGAGTGCCACAACTGTAATTTAATACTTTTGTTACCAAATGGACGGATGTATTTTAAATACAATTTTTTCATTCATTACTTTGTGCATGAAGCTGAAAATTAAGTTTTAAATCATTTAACGAATCTCTTTAAACGTCATTCATTACAGTATATTAATGTAATTTGCATTAAAAAATAATAATTGTAAAAGGGTTGATTGCAAACGATATCAAACACACCGATTCAAGTAGCTTTACCTTAAAATGTAACGTAGAATTACATTATTCTAATAATAATAATAAAAACAACCCTCCTGAACTCTTAATTTCGAAATCAAACAAAATCAAAAACGTAAAAATAACAGTACAGGTAATTTTACCTTTAAATTGGGGAAACAAAAATATTTATAACTTTATGGCATATATCAAGATTAATTGACATATATCAATATTAAATGACATATATCAATATTAATTTTAGAACCAAACGAACATGAAAATTAATGTAAGAGAACTGGATCCTACCATGTGATTTTCCAGCCAATAAAAATTAATCGACAACAAATGAATACTGCGGAATCATCATTAGATTTTTATACATTGTAAGATTCAAAGAAATTCCTACATTGCTCTAAGTTATCCCAACATGGGGTAGGTTTGAACACGAATTTTAAAATTTTTCCAAATTTTACAAATATTTGTAATCCTTCTGAAAATTTTAAGTTACTTAAAGGTAAATTCTTTTTTTCCCCCTAATCTTCTTATATATTTGTCAAATGACCAGTAGTTTTAAAGTGTTGATTTGTATAAAAATTACTTTTAGAGGAAACATTTGGATTAAAAAATAAATAAATATTATAAAACAGCAGCGGTCACCATAGCAACGCATGCAATGACGACGCAAGCGCATTGCATGATCCCATATCTCAAAAATAAATTCACCAACTTAATGTATAACAGAATTAAAAGTGAAGAAAAAAAAGAATTTTAAAAAAGTTATTAAACAGCAGCGGTCGCCATAGCAACTGTTTACTATTACTCTTGAACACAGTTGAAAAATGTGATGACGTCCAAATAAAGTGCGGACGCTATCAAATCCAAAACAAGACCCATTTTGCCATTAGGTAAAAACCAGAAAACTTCGAAAAAAATTCTAAATACAAAAAATTTCAAACGTTAAAATCAATATTTTTATTGTTTAATAACCTAATTAAAAAAAGTTTTTTCACTTTGCATAGGAAAATAATATATTTTGAGCTCCATAATCCCCGTTAAATTCTCGTTTTAATTGCCGTTTAAGTTTGGTTTTATTTCTAGTGTAAATAAAAAAACTTTTATACGCACCTTCATGTTTAAAGCAAAAGAGAAGTGAACTTTTCCGCTGAAGATAGAAGCAGAATACAAATTAGAATTCGAAAGTGCCTTGAGAAGGGAATACTATTCCATTTTATATGTTTTTTAAGTCGTGGTTGCAAAACCTGAAGACACTTCATTTCATTTAACTTAAGACAACTTAATCCAAATTAATCACTGTGTTTTAGATTATTTACTTTAAAGCAGATGCGTTTGATTTTTTTTTTAATTCTGAGAAAACTCATATAATTTAACAAAATCTGACAGCAAATTATATATAACAAACGATTTAATTTCTGTGGTAAATTTTTTTTTTTTGAAATCTGTGGTTTTTTCCCCTCTCTGTATTAAAAACTCTATACATAGAAAAAACTTTATATTATATTTAATATTGCTGTGCAAAAACTGTAAAACTTGAAGTTACAATAATCTGTAATAAATGTTCAAGGACTTCGACGAATAAAAGAATTTAACTATCGATAATTAGTTCCAGAATTATGAACTGTTAAATTTGTTGTAAAAATAACATGTGAACCAGTCTGCAGATATGAGTTACAGAATTGGAATTTGAAAGTTCTATTTTCTGAAAGAAATATATTCAAAACTCAAAAATATTATTAAAAAATAGAAAGTTCCATTTTTTAATGCTGAAAGTTCTATTTTCATACTGCGAGTTTTTTTTTCTTTCGAAATTCTAATTTTCTCAAAAGTTATCGCTTTCTTTTCGTATCTTTTTTCGTCCCTTTTGGTTCAAATAATTATTATTTATGCATTATTATTTATCATACTGACTTGATGCAAAATGTAAAAACAAAAGTATGAATAAATATTACTAAAAAAATAATAATAAGAGGTCGAGAGAGATTATAATGATGCCAGATATAAATCATTTACATCAAAATTTTAAAAAAAAAATAAGACACAAGAGAGATAAAAATTGTTCCTAATTTAAACTGCTATTTAATATTAGTTTATTTAGTATTAATAAGCAAAATTATTTCCCATTTATTACTTATTGTATCGCACATTCTGTGTTCTAAATTTTAAATATTTCTTTTTCAACATTATTTTTCAAATCTATGTACCCGTCAATTTCGCCACGACTAACATATTAACAAAACATTCATACATAAAATTATTAATAATAATAATATATTTTACTACCTGCTGAATACCCATTCTTCATATGGGCTGAAGAAAAAAAATTAATAAATCAGCATTGAACAACACTACCTAATAACGCAGAAAATGAAAAGACCTATACTGAGATACTTAATGAAGCTTAAATTATGACAATTCTTTTTATTTTACTTTATACTTATATTTTATCCTCCCCAGTGACTTTACGTTATTAAATTAAGCAAAGTAAGTTTTTAGCAGGTCATTCCAACAAAATAAAGATTAACTGTTTTTCAATATTATTTGACATGATTCTGTTGTTCTAGGCCAACAAAATAGTCATAATTTACGACAATCGAGCAATTTTTACAGAACTTATCCCTTTCGCTGATCTGTAAAAACGGTATTCGTCAAGTATCTTAAAAGCTTGTTGCAGTCTCATAAGGTATCAAACATACCAATAAAATATATTGTAGTTATATCAGTATATTTGCTATCTATTAAAAGTGCACCCAAAATTCACACAGCATCATTGGTGTCAAAAAAATATGGCGATTTCTTACTTCTCTTCTAAACGAAACAAATAAATAAAATTTCTTCATTGATTTTGCTTTAAGTACTACATAGCATTTTCTTTCTGTTTCAATTACCAGATATTTAAGCTGCGATGGCTCACGGGATAAAGCGTTCGCCTCCCAATGAGGTGAATCGGGTTCGAATCCCAGCGATATCTAGTCGATGCGGATTCCGCACCCGGCTTGCATCGACCACAGTGCTGAGGGAAAATATCCTCTGTGGTAGACAGATCACGGGTTAGAGTCCCCTTGACTTCAGGCTAACCGTGGGAGGTTCACGTGGCCTTCCTCTCCGTTTAACGCAAATGCTGGTTAGCTCCATCAAAAAGTAATCCAAGAAGGCAAAGTTTCTCCCAATACTCGCTCCAGGAGTTCCCTTGTCTTCTGGATTGGGTTCAAAATGAAAAGGCTACGGAGTTAAACTATAGTAGTCGTAAACCCATAAAATTGGGTCGGATGTTCAACGACGGTTAAAAAATAAAATTTTTTCATTGATTTTGCTTTTAGTACATAGCATTTTTTTGTTTCAATCACCAGATATTGAACCACCAGATATTGATCACCAGATATTGATGGCTCAGGGGGTAGAGCGCTCGCCTTACAACGAGGTGAACCGGGTTCGAATCCCAGCAATGACTAGTCGATGCGAATTCCGCATCCGGCTTGCATCGACCACAGTGCTGAGGGAAAATATCCTCGGTGGTAGACGGATCATGGGTTAGAGTCCCCATGACGTCAGGCTAACCGTGGGAGATCTCGTGGTCTTCCTCTCCATGTAACGCAAATGCGGGTTACTTCCATCAAAAAGTCCTCCACGAAGGCAAATTTCTTCCTATATTCCCTTGTCTTCTGGATTGCTGTCAAAATGACAAGGCTACGGAGTTGAACTATAGTAGTCGCAAACCAAAAAATTGGATCAGCTGTTCAACGACTGTTATAAAATATAAAATTACCAGTTATTAGCAAAATTAATTAAGCATATTTGGCGTCAATAATTGTTTGGCGACTTTTTACGCATCTCTTAAACGAATTAGTATCATTTTCTCCTTAAAGTTTGCTTTTTAGTACATAGCGCCTTTTTTAATTTCAATTACCAATAATTGATTAGACGTCAAAAGCGGCGATTTTTAGGGATCTCCTAATCAAATAACTTGGCCACTTTGCTTTTGAGTACAAAGATAAACTTTTGCTATTTCAATTAAAACTTATTACCAAAACTAATTAAGCATTGTTAGCTTCAATTTTACGGCGATTTTCTACATTTCTCCTTGACGTATTAGTACTGTTTCTGCAACAATTTGTATTTTGTCCTTAACTTATTTATTTTTAATTTCAAATGCCATTTATTTTAAATAATTTAGTTTTATAGAAACACCTTTTTAAATCTTATAGATAAAAAAAAATATGCTAGTGGTTTCAGATAATTTTGGGATTACTAATTTGGGGATATAGACCACCTATGTTAACCACGTTCACGTTGATCATTGTATCGGGTATAGCAAATAAAAAATAATTAAAAATTTAAAAACATGCAATGAACACCTTTTTTTTTAAAAAAAAAACTATTAATTATTATAACATAAATTTTTTCTTCTATAACTATAAACTATTTTCTTCTTTCATTAAAAGTGAAAAAATTAATAGAAAAGTGAGTAATCAATTCGCTTTTTTTTTCTCGAAATGATTTAATTTTAAAAGATTATAAAAAAAGGTTTAAAAATAAGTAAAGTTTCGATATATTGTATTGGAGGAAAGTTCGTTGTTGAATGTAGAAATTTCTTTTCTTTGGCAATGAGCTATAAACTATTTTCTTCTTTCAGTAAAAGTGGAAAAATAATCCGATTGTGGTTAATCTTGATGAATGACGGAATTAGCTTATTTTTTGAGGGAATAACATTCAATGGATGTTCCGGAAACATCCTGTTTATATTTTTCGTCTGGAATGCCAAGAATCGTTTGGAATTCAAGAAAACGGCAATAACATGAGGGTGAGTCATATTTAAAAGATTATGAACGTTTCAGTTTTAAACTTAGACATTTAGATATACTATTATTATTATTATAAGTCTTTTTAATTCATAAAATTTAAAATGAAAATGACTAATTAACCTTTACACGAAAATTGTAGTATTATAGCGTTTATTCTAGTAGCAGAACCCTTCCTGCACACCAGGAGGAGCTGCAGATTTTCTCAGCATCTGCAGATTTATTTTTCTCCACAGATATTATTATCATTATTATTTTTTTTTTTATGAATAGGTTAGAGAACCCACA